AAATGGATAGTTGAAACGGAATAGTTCTTAGAGCTTGTTATTTCTCTTGCATTTATACCTATCGAAAACCATTATATAGACAAATTATGAAGCATGAAATGATTTTAGTTGGATCATTTCCTATCGTGTGCGAGCTTCGCTGTTTCTTGAGGCTCTTTTCGGATTATCCATATACATTTATCTAGTTAAAACTCAAATTTCCTACTTGAATAAAGGTTTGATCTAAGCACACTGTAGAAATTTTTTGAAGAAAATGGAAGTGTTGAACGACAATATGTAGATAATAAACATCCATTAGCTTAATTTCCTCTTCAAAGGGGAATACTTTAACGTGGCTTAATGAATGAAAGCAGAAAATAAACGTAAAGTGATACAAAACACACTCTGAGATATTTGAATTCAAACAAAAAAAAAACAGGTCGATGTATGCTTTATTCAATACATAATAATATAAATACAGCCTTGGAATAAAACTGAAACACGGATCGCCGAATATTAACAAAGTGTGACATGAAATGAACTTTAAATAACAAATAATAACTTTGCATGAATGATTTATAACGTACATGCGGAAAATGCTGGTTTTCAGCAGTCATAAAACATGCTGGTCACAATTATTAACTGTATGCTGCAGTCAATAAAAAACAAAAAGGTTACAAAAGTTTTATTAGATTCCACCATATATGAACAGCTAATAAAATAACTTGTCAAAAAGCTACTAGCAGTGGCCATAATATGTTTCTAGTATCACGTGCCAATTCCAGATAGCCATTGTATGCTATGCGAAGAACACCAATGAGAAAAAAATGTGAGACCAATGCAAATAAGTTCGTTACTAAACAATGCACGATTACCGCATTTGATAATTATTAACACTAATCAATGTCTGTTATACAAATGCAAAGAAAAAATGCTATCAAAGACATCAATAAGTTCATTTTCTGAATGAACAACAACACATTTTAATTATCATTTAGTTTAAGCTTTTGATAAAAACTATAATCAAGAGTGAATGAAAACGTATGAGTTCTTCAACATAATAAGCATGAATGTAGCAGTAAGAACTATTAAACAAGCAGCAACGATAATAATCCATTTTGCATTCTTCACACACATTCGGCGCTGAACGCGTCGTGCTGTCCATTGGAAGTTTTGAGACTGCAAAAAAGAAAATTTTTAAACCAGATAATTTAAATAGTCTTAAAGATCGACTGATGAATACAAGACTTTCATTAAAGAATCACTGAAACTTTAAAGTGCTCCAGACTACTTAAAAATTCTTCACATGTTCCTGAAATTCTCCTTCTGAATCTCTACGAATATTTTTTTAAACTCTTTGAACACTAATTTTGTTACAGTAATTCTGCACCTTTCTTAGAACTATCCAGTTCGGAATGATAACGATAATTCCTAACCAGACACTATTTTTCATGCACATTTTAAAGTTCTAAAAAGACACACCGACTGAGTAAGCGCTTCCGTCCTACCCTCAATATTCTCCAGTTGTTCGTCTCTTTCCAATACCCTTTGCACATTATTGTTCATCACCTGGAAAAAAAAGATATTCCGAACAACTACATATTCTATAATAAAGTTCATAACAAATCGTTCTGCATACGACAAACTTTAAGGAACCTCAGAAAAATAGAACAAACTAACCTCTCTTACATTTTCAACTTGTTGCCGAATCGTCGCAAGCTTGCCTGTTTCCATTGCTTCATTCCCGTGATCCATCTGAAATCATAAAACATCATAAACAAATAACTTTCAGACCTTTCACTATCTCTTCCACAGAAATTGCGTCAGTATTAACATCAGTTAGAAATAAAAAACCATAAATCATATAAGTTATTGCCTCTATTCAAACAAAATGTTCGAAACCTGGCTCTGAAATTTTGATACCGTCATCATCAAATTTAGCGACAAAAGTAGGCATTATGACACGAAATAAATACTTATTGCACCGGTTGCTGAATTGTAAATGAAGTACTCAAAAAGCAAAATTCGCATAAAAATAAAAGCAATGCTCATAAATCAAAATAAAAGAAGCTGAATTATGCAAACTCATCGCTGATTTTACTAATAACTCTTGTTGTGATCCATACCTCCACTTCCCACATTTCTATCGACTCACCTCTGAGATTATGTATTAATATATTATTTTGATAAACTAATAAATAACGACATAATAAAATTCAATGAAAATACTTCTTTCAGTGATAATGAAAATGATGTTATATTTTAAACATACCTGATGTTATATTTTAAACATATTATCACATGTATAAATTAGATTCAGAAATTCCGATCTCCCAATCTTCAAGTGTTGTAAGACAAACGGTACATGTTATACAGCCAAAGGGCACAAGATGCAAAAAAGAAGTGACAACAAAAAAATGAGTACAATTAAAAACATTGATACCTCCTACGTAATGCGAACAGTCACCACTGTCTGTGTATGTGTGTGTATGTATGTTTGTGTGTTTTTCTGTACATTGTGTGTATTGTTCCATGGATACCAGAAATTTAAAATCAATATTATAAGTGACTTCATAGATTTACGGTCTTCTCTCCAGCACGCTAACTATGTGACGCAAATAGCAATAGTGCTAATTAAAATTTAAATTTGCATACCAACAATAAACATTGATATGAATATGAAGTTACAGAAGTTCAAAGACCAAATGAAAGTCCACTATGATAAAAAGGCATGAAAAGAAATAGCTAGAAGGAAAAAAGTTAGAATGATAGGTGGTTTCACACTGATAATGGATTGCCTTTCCATTACTGTCAATGAGTCTGAACCATAAGCTTTTAAGAAACAACAGCTCCTTTAATAAATAATAGTCTTGTTCATGTCAAGTGATTTCCAAGTATAAAAGATCGAAAAGATTTAGTATTGACTAACAGTGACATTTGTCTTAACAGTGACCCCCATTAGTCATTTATTCATCCGCCCACCTGGTTCGACATTCAGATCAGATTGACCTTGTCAATGCGCAGCAACAGAAACAACAAACACTCTGACAATAACATTTTATATTTAACCCACTGAGTATGAAATTCATTAATTTATATCAAAAGTTACTAGTATAACTCTTAAATTTTTCTCCATAGCGCTAAAGCAAGTGATACGCTATCCGTTATTTTTTGATTAATACACATTAACAACACCACTTAAGTTTTTATGTTTCAGTAATGGTAAAGCGACGAAAAACGTGTTTATTAGAAGTTGTCGTTTGGATTATTCTGCTATATTTGGAGTAAATTCATATCAAATAGTATCAGATATAGAGAATTTTTCACGTCGCATGATTTAGTACAATTTTGAAAAATGGTTTGAACTAGATGAGACACTAAGCGTTTTGATAGCGCATTTTGAGAAGAGCAGTAACTGTTTGAGTTGAATCTATGTGAGCCTAATTACCGTTGGGTTATTAACGATAAATTTACTAAGAATAAAGGCTGAATAGATGACTTATGCCACAAGATTTCTGTAGCTATATTTATAAGTACAAAGATGATTTTCATCTCTTTTTGTATCACTGTCACGCTATGTAATACCAAGTGTCTATCACTTGGCCCTAATCGAACCTCTTGTGGCACTTGCCTGCATGATCACGTAAAACTACGGAGAGCTCATGAATAAAGAATTGCAATATTGTGGAAATGCGTGATATAACATCACATTTCTCGCAAAATGCTCTTTTCTTGCATAACAAAAAATCAAATTTCTTGTAACAAGATAACAATCACATCCTACTTTTTTAGCGAACTCACCTCTGACTTTTCTCTGCAGCCATGCCTCTGGAGCCTGCTTGATGTATGAATTCACTTCACAAATATCTGATAATTTGATCATTCCTCATCGATCTTTTGTCGCCTGTGAGATCGAACAATAATAATTCTCGTAATCACTGCTGCCACTGTTACAATGACCTCTACCCTTTTCTAAGTTTCTGACAACTGCCACACACCAACATAACAACCATTCAACACAACCTCCCACACTCCATCAACAACGATCCCCAGTCCTCTGGCTTCCCTCCCACTCTCAACGGGTCTAACCAATCGCATTTTGTCTCCCTTCCTTCCATTCCCTGCACTATTTCCGGGGACGACAGGCAAAGATGAATTTCGCCTTGACCACTGGTCAGTTACACATCGGTTCCGTCGATGGATACTTCTAAGTAAGTGAGTGTTTGTTTCATCCTCTGCGCCTTGCAAGTTGCGAAAGGGAAAATTTAAAATTTTCGAGGCAATTAAGGATATCAGGAAGTGAGCATTTGACCACAATGATAGTTCTTTTAATTGTAGCGGAAAATGAATGAGTTTTTGAACTGATGATTTATGGAGCGTAGAAGTGATATCAGTTGGAAACTATCAAACCATCCAGAAAAAAGATTTCTTTATAGGATCAAATATTGCAATACACTTTGATTGCAACTTTTGTACTGGATTGGTTCATATCTTGATTCAACTCGAGAATTTATTTGATTCTACCTCTTTGTCAGTGACTCGATTCTCCAATACAATGTACTTTGATTGCTACAAGTTTGGAAAAAGGAGGAAAATGAAAACTGGAATTTATTCAAAAGAAGAGCACCAAAGCCCTCTTAATGAGACAGTTTTTTATCAACTGGAAAATTATTCAATTTCAAAAAATACTCTTTAAGAAGATAATTAATGAAATCAACGATATACTGACCCAAATCTTCCAAAAGATTGAGAATAGCAAACTAATTATGGAAATTTTTCTAAAACTTTAATGACTTCCTAGGGAAGTTATGCAAATTTTGGTCTTCTCTATCCAGACTATCCACGCTTATCAAAAAATTAGATTAAAATCAAAATGCGTTGATCCTGAAGGGATGACGGATTGATAGTCTTAGTCCTCTGGTTAAATTATTCACATTTTCAGCCTTTCCAAGTATATATGCGATCATTTTTTTGAAATGTAATTGCAAAAATTTCCAGCCTTGATGATGAAAACTGACAATTTACAGATAGACTGCTTTACAAGTAGATTACTGAACTCCTTAAACTCTTTATCATTGAATGTGTGTTCAATCAGTTTTTATGCTACTATTCAGCAGGCGTTGAAAAATAATACATTTCTATTTCCATTCAAAAATTGATAAATATGTAAACTTTCGGGCAAATATCTCGGATTCTTAAACCAATTAGGAATAATTCACCATTATTTGGGGCTGTTGTGGACGTTTTCTCCGGCTTCCCTAACTCGTTTTATTTATACAAAAGAACAGTTGTTTTTTTAATGACACTATAATCTCGATAATCCAAATTTGTCCAAAAGCTTAAAGCTTGAAATTTAAAAAATCGAGGATAATCTTCTTAAGATAATTTGGTGGATTTTTGTAGGAAGTCATGTGCATTGTTTCTATTACAGTATTTCTTTTCCTCTCATTTTTGAATGTACTGTTTGTCAAATCATTGCAATATTTACTCATTTGAAAAGTTTGCATCTTAATTTCACACTTATTCATTTATGTGAAAGTAATCAATTCATTTATTCTTACTAAATTAATCCATTATCGTAAAACAAGTTGTATAATTTTTGTTGATACTGTGATCACTGAGATCAGTATGTTCAAGAAATGCTTGAAAAGTATTGTTGCAGTTCGCTTAGGCATAAATAATCTTGACAGCTATCGCTAACGAACTCTGTCCATAATTAATTGTTTGACAGGATACTTCATCCTTGATTAATGGTCTTAAAATATACTTGTAGAATGTAGTGTGTCTTTTAGGAAAAACACTAACATTATTTTTTGCTGCATTCAACAACAAACTTTTTTTCATAATTAAAAATTTAACGATAGAACAAATAGTGTCGTAAGAATTTGCTTGGATACTAAAGTTGTTATAATACAGTTCAGTTTTATTATTCATCGCATATCATTTCTTTGTGCAACAGTACGAATTATGATTATTGTCTTGGCAATTGTTTTATTGATGTTGGAAGTGAATTGGTACAGACAAATATGATTGGGAAAAGGTTTCAGTGATTAATGGACAATTTATTCACTGAAGTTATAAAACAATATCAGAGAATATCACGAGTAGAGTCAGTCTCTGCTGGTGAAGACCGTTTATAATATTGGTACTGATGATACTAAAAAAGTAAATACTGCATAAACCATTAATATAGTCCTACCATACCATCCAGGCATACTATCAATAGTTCGTTTGGACACAAAGAGAGCTCAGTAAAGCTTAACATTTTGAGGCAATTTAACCCCTACAACACAATTTTAATTATTTTAACAGATTTATTATAAAATTATTTTGGTTTTCGCGACGATTCTAGTAAATTTCTTACATTCCAGGAAGAATCTCATTAATCTGATTTTGTTAAATCAGCGCAATAACTATCACGTATGTTTAGAGAACATTCAGTGTATATTATGATTTTAAAGCATCGGATAATTCGTAGTGCATAAAAAATGCTCACCTGAATTCGAAATAAAATTTATAAAAATCTCAAACATAATAAACATGAAGTTAACAGATAATATCTAATTATATCGCCAAGTTTAATGAGTTAATGGCTTTGACATTCAGCGAAGCACACATTAAGTTATTCATCTTTTGAAATTTGTGAGGTGTAACGTACTGCAAGTCACAGTAATACACCAAATTGTAAGGCGCTGCGGATAACTTTTAGGAGCAAGCGCCGTATATGATATTTATGAACACCAATTCAATCAGTTATCAATACAGCATTGATTAATCTTGTATCAGCAGAACTGATGATAACATCGATAGAATTATCAACTTTGGTTCACTTCTTCATTCATAGTTCATACTTTCGACCAGTGGTGCAAGAAATCTTTGATAATCCCTGCTGAGTCATCAAATAATGAGAAGTCAACAGTTTAAAAATAAATAATGATAAATTTTGACGACGGTTCCTAATTTTGATTTTGGAGCTCTCTTTATATATATATATATGTATATGTATGTATGGTTATCCATAATTACATCTGATTTTTCTTCTATTTCATATAAAATGATCTTCTAATGTTAAATTGTTTTGAAAAAAAAATAGAAATAGACCGAGGCTCGTCTCCTAGAATCAAAATCATATTAAATTTATCCTCTTAGCTATTTTCAGTTATTGACAAAATTTAAGGGAAAGCAATTACTTCGCTGTCGTACAAAAGAATAAGTGTATTGGGTGAAGCAAAGGTTGCAATTTGACGAAGGTTTTGGAAGAGAAATAGGTTGTCTCAACACCATCAAACAAGTTCTGTAATCCGTGTTAATTCCGTGTTATTCTGTTGAAATGTCAGACTAAAAAGCTGGGAATTGAATGCTCTTGAAAAACACCACTTTATATCAGACCGATAGTGCACAGCAGCATCTTTGAAATTCCGATCTGAAAGCCTTTTAAAACGGATACCCTTTAAATTGTATAATTTCAGAGTTGTTGGAACTTTGTCAGAGTTAAATTCAAATCACAAAATGTGATTGATTCAGATAGCAGTAGTAGTGAGCATAAATTCCTGATTTTTTGAGAGGGAAGAGAGCGAAGTCAAAAACGTTAGAAATTCATTTTTTCTCAAGTGACAACAGCCAAGACACGATGTTAAAATGCACTCATCATTGTTTACAAAGGAAGGAGGTCACCAAGTGTCAAAACAGGTTCCTCTTTCGCTGCGTATCAATTCTGATCTACGAGGTAATTCACGGAACAATTCAAATTAGTGAGAAAAGACGCGATATGTCTGCTACGAACGCTACATATCACGTAAACTTCGTTTGGCAACCCAATCTCTCACTCTAATCTTCTCTGAATAATAATAAATGCAACGCTGCTCCCACCCACAGCTTATAGACTTCGAAAATTTAAGAAAATGAAAATGGACAGTTGCACTGAGAATAGAACCGATTTCGAAAGCAGTGCTTTCGAAATCGGTTCTATTCTCAGTTGGTGAAATGAAGTTAATTGGAAAAATTAGATTAATTTCAATGAGGGTCAGTTTAATAATAGGAAAGCTGGACAGTCGAGAGTTGAGCTGGACAATCAAGAGCTGAAAATCATCCGGCTTTTCCTCTTGCAATTACTGATTTTTGAGGACAAACATTTTATTCATATTCGTCATACCTTATTCATTTTAATGAAATATCAGCATTAGTTCTTTAATATTCCAAAATATTAGCAGGGAGAAAGTTAGTGCGGGAAGGTGGTGTGAACAATTTTAGGTGAGAGTGATGATATTTCTTAATAATAGGGCTCGTGCAGGCAGGAGTGAGACAGCGTGCTATGTAGGATAGATATCCCGGGATTTCTGGAAATTCAGAAAATCCTCATCGGAAACGGAAATTTAAAGTTTCGACACTGTTCATTACCGCCATTCTCATCTCATACGGTCCGCCAATAAGATTGAGTTTATCGATTGCCTACGTGCAAATTTGCAGGGACGAGGTTAACAGTATGTCCTGACTGTGCCACTGACGTAGAACTACTCAAAATCTCATTCATTCATTCTTTTAACTAGTCGGTGAGACGTTATCTCTTTTCCTCACGTGAATGTCTGTTAGTGTGGTGGCTTCCGCAGTGGAATGAGTATCATCTATGAGGAATTTGGTGAAATTATATTTAAACTTGCAAATTTCATAGTTCTACCATATTTTTTGTTCAAATATTGTAGAAATTGGTCAATAAAAACATTGGAAACTGAAAACATTTTTAAAAAATTAAGTATTGTAGTGGCGTGATTGTTACGGGTTTTAATTTAAGCAATATCTGTTATGATAACTGCTGTATCATTCGTTACTTTATGCTTGTATTGATGGTATAAGAATTTACTAATCTGAAATGATCAGATAAATTTTGGTTCTGTTCTATTTGAAAGAAAGGATGACTGCTTCTATGGCCTTACGGCCTTGAATGTATAAACAACTGTAAGAAGCCAGCTAAAACAATCAGTACAAATGCAAAAGGAGTAGCAGAGGCTCTCCTACTGAAAATTTGAGAGAAATTAGGGTCAGATGTTTCAAATTTTTGAATTAGCATTTAATAAAGTGCGCACGAATAAACTTGAAGTACTCTTCCATCTCTTTTTCTTTCTTCAGATTTTCGATATTACAAAACGAGGTAAATTATGGGTAAGAAGAAGAAGCGAATAAAGCGAAAAAGAAAACATCGTAACCGCGCTGAAAACGCTGAGGATGTTGAACACGCTGAGTACACCGAGTGCGCTGAGTACGCTGAATACGATGAGTACTCCGAACACGATGAATACGCTGAAAACGCTGAAAACGCTGAAAATGCTGAAAACGCTGAAAATGCTGAAAACGCTGAAAATGCTGAAAACGCTGAAAACGCTAAAAACACTGAACACGATGAATACGATGAAGAGGAAGAATATGCTCGATACGCCGCACAAGAGGATTGGGCTACACTTGATTTTTTATTTGAGGATGAAACGTCAACTGACGAAGATGTCTCTGCCTATTCAGCTCGAGCCGTAAACTGTATAGCATGTCTCAGTCGCCGACAACCTTTTAGTATAATTATTTTTAGTTGTTCACTGAAATAAAGTTTGCTAGCGATCACGCTATATTTTCCTTTATATTCCTTTATATTAGCTAAGATATTAGGACTATTAAATCCTTAATTGTATTGCCTGCAGCCTACTCATTGATCTCTTAAATAAGATCATGTTGCAAACCATTCAATTTACTTCATCTATTCGGTAGTTTGGTTCGAGCACTCTAGCTTGGCTCAGTAGTACGATACCAGCCTTTGGAAGGTTCCAAAATCAGTATTCAAGATTGTTCCCTTTTTCAATGCTTTTTATTTTCATGTGACAAATCAAGGGTGATGGAAATTATGACTGTAGTGCAAACAACAACGCCATCGGTGAGAACTATCCAACTAAGTCTCCATCTTCTAAATATTTTCTTGGATATTCAAAAGCTTCCAGTTATGGAAATGTTTTGGGAAGGACTGGATATGATTTTGACCGAAGGAATGCAGTTCAAGGTGTTGTTTTATTTTTCTTATAAAAAAGGATCTTTGAAAGGTATTTGGAGTTCTTTTCCGAGTATTTTACCTCACCTTTATTTAAATTATGCTTGACAGTTTATTTTATAGAATGCTATGATCCAGTATCACGCTACACATGCTATGTTAGAATTTGTAAAATACATGACAGAAAGACAGTTGCAATTTTTGATACCACGAGGATTAAAAGACGGAATAAAAGCTGTTCTGCACCGTGACCTTTTCTTTATCATTCAAGAGGTACAGTATTTTTACATTTGTTATTCTATTTTGTACGTCTTTTCAAAACATTACTCACGTGCAGCACTTGATCGATACTATGCTATTATCATTTCAGAAAAATTATGAACAAACAGAACGGATTTTATTTTTGTAACTTTGTATAATAGGTTTTTAGTCTATAGCCCAAAGTTGAACGCTTTATTGCAAATATTCAGGGTATTGAACTGTGCTCACAAATAGCTATCAAGAGCCCTAGTCTGCGCGATGATGTTGCTAATTGGGGTTCTTTGCGTCTAACCGAATTGTTAGCGAAGCATCACAATAGAATATCGCTTGAGCTTACGCACTCAGTTACATCCTTACTACAAAGCATGTGCTACCATAAACTTATTCCGGAATTTGTTCTGAAACGTCTTGCAAACAGTTCTTGCTTTCTTTTGCAACATGAGGTTTCGTTTTTGCATTTTTGCTAAATTTGTAAGATTGAGAAAACAAATGTGCGCATCGCTAAGTTGACAGGAGTCATCTTTTTTATGAAGATAAACCTATTAATCATTATTGAGTTGTTGGAAGTTTTATCAAACTTAATGAGCAAATAAGAGACCATTCTTTCTAATTTTTAGTTCAGCCACACGTTGTTACTCTACGATAGACACTTTATATATATCTCGATGTCACATAAAGGTTGAGATTTGTAGAGGCAACGTTTGATATTCCTTCATACAATGTAAAATAATTCATATTATCCAGGACGAGGGAATCCGTGCAACTGTTTTGAACATCGTGATTGAAATCGCTCGTAACAAAGATGTTGTTGTTACATTTGAACATAACTATGTGAACAGTATTTTTCAATTTTTGGACAGCACAATTGAATTTGAAGCTGCATCAGCATTTTTTATTGTTGGATACTTTGTAAAACAACATAACAGCAACACTATTGTAATTTTTTGCCGATTTTGAAAAGAAGAAAATTCTTTTTGCAAGTTTTAATTTTACTGCTCTGTTTTTATTCTTATTAAATATTATTGAACTGTTACTGTCGAGCTCGTTCAACAGATCTTGCAAGTAGTATGAATTGTAACTTTCTTGGTTAAGAGAAATTAAGTAATAAGGACTTTATTTTTAATAAGTTGTGGTGGAAATTGTTCTCTTTTTCGCGTGAAAAAGGGAAAGCAAAGCGAAAGGACAAGGAAATATATGTTTTTATATGTTATTTTATCTTTAAATTCACTTGAAAACACTTAATTTCAGGCAATTCTTCAAATGGGATTTATTGAGAAGATCGTACCTTTTCTCACTTGTCATTCAGCTCAAGAAATTGTTCTTGAAGCCTGTTCAATTCTTCAAAATCTTCTGTCCAAAAAAAAATACATAAAATACGTGGGATCCATGGTGGAATCTGGAATTGTGTTGATGCTTCTTAAACTCCTGAATGACGTGAGTTACTGCTGTATTCAAATGTTCTGGATAAAATAGATGGAAGCGAGTCACATGAAGTGAAGTAAAAGCATTTCACTGATGAGACAAGCCATAATAAACATCATGTTTTTAGCAACACTTCGTTAAATTAAATTTATAGTGGAGAATATCAACTGATAACTTTCAACTTTTTTTGGGTTCTCGTTGACACTGTACTCATCCATTAAAATATCAAGCACTAAAATTATTATATTTGCCTTAATAATTTAGAGACTTAAAACGTGAACATAAGCAACTCAATCTTAAAGAATGGATGTGATTGCTTTTCCGTTAATGTTATTTGTTTTATACCATTCGTGAGAATCTCGATGTTAAATATATTAAACTGTCTATTGCAGTTCAGAACGCTGGAAATATTATAAAGTTAAGCCAAATAAGTGCGGTTTAAGCAAAACGAATGTAATTAAATTAAACAGTTGAATCAAACTAATTTTGTTGAATTCAATTAATCATAATGTTTTTAGGATTCCCCAATTTACAAGAATGAGGCTTGCACTACGTTATATATGTTGAATGGGATGTGGAAACCCAAATACGTATTTAAAATGGCTGATGAGAAACACATCAGAATCATGTGTGATATCCTTAAGAGTTCAAACAGCAAACATGTCGCGTGCTGCGTTGTTGTTTTAATGCATTCTACCTTGAATGCATGTTCGATTTTAAAAGCTGACTTTGAACTAATACGGGCGACAGATTTAATCAGAGTCTGTTTTTAAAAACATAGATTTCCAACCACTTTTACAGTTCCTATACTGTTGTCAGAGTCATTATTTTTACATTCCAAATTATCTTTATCTCAGATATCGTCCACGGAAAATTGTTTTGCGTTCTTATAGGAAAAAAGTAATTGCTATTCAATGAATAGGTTGAAATTGGCTCTTACTGAACAATTGCAGCAATCATTTACACATTTCAGGAGTTGGAAGCTGATGAGTGTATCGCAGAATTTGTCAACAATACTCAAGAAGGCAGTTCGATAAATAATTTGGCTAGCGAACTATACACTCTTTATCTAAATGATGTAGAAGTGGATTCTGATGAGGATAATTATGCAGAAACTGAAGAAGCATTGCCCACTTACAATTCAGGATTCATGGAAACTGAGATTTGTGCGTCTCAAATTGTTGACGATTCTCAAACGATGATATCATATCCAACTGACTGCATCTATTGTTTCCTGAGTAAGCAAATCGGTTCAGTTCATGAAAAGTCCGGAGATTAATTTTAGTTTCATAAGCCCCAATATTCTGCCCAACATGTAGAATCACCAGCTTAGAACACTTAGCTTTTTGAAAACAAAAAAAATCCCATGTTCTACTTACTTATATTAACCAATTTTATTTACTCTTCCTAGTAGCCCTTAATGTGTTAATCTTTCTTCCTGTGACTTTTATCTTGATTAAGCAAGATAATGTTTCAGTTTATCTATTCTAATGCGAAATATTTTCTAAACGTTTCATTTTCCAACATTTTTACACGTGAATGTACCCATACTTTTTTCTGAACATCCTCTGATACAAATAATGTTAGGAAATTTTTTGAAACTATATCGCAAATCTTACTTCGGTCATTTTAGTAGGAAGAAGAAAAAGAAATTATTTTTTAAAAATTCTGGAAAGAACAACCTTTCTGGAATGCCTTACTTTCAATGCAAATATAAATTCCAACTATTTCACTTTATCGATGTTGGATCTATATAATGAAGATCTCTTTTCAAAAAACTTTCCACGACAATGATCTTTTAGGGAGCTGCTTTTTCTTATGATATGGTGTTTACCTGCAATGAATAATGTTTTTTTTTTCTTTTTTTTTGATTAAATGCTTTTATGCAAGAGCTATTTATCCGTTTGACAAGATATTATCCAATTTTTTACTTTGAGTTGTTTCCAATAGCAAGGTTATAAAAAAGAGTTAGATGTTCTGCCTAACTGTTATGTACTATGAACTTTTCTCTTATTTATTCTAAATTAGTTCAAAGAATTTTAAGACCAACAATTACAGCTCGCCCAGATTGCTGTAAAAGAGGTAAATAGTAGAACCCCTACCACATATCAGACTTACGATTCTCATTAGCGATACAAATCTTTTCCAGGATGGTATGATATATATTATTAGATGAATTGTTTTTGTATTTATGAATTCGGTGGTTGGTGCAAGAGATTATAGCTATCTTAATAGAGTTTCCAAATCAAATTCAAATTTCTAGGCCCACCTTTACCTGTTTCTTAAAAATAAGCGAATCCTTTGAATCATTTGGCATTTACATTTGCTCCTGAGTTCCTTCCATCTCTTGTGTACTGCAAGCAGTTCAAAATAGTACATAACTTGGATTTGAATTAGCAAGAAGTAGTAATCAACAATAGAATAAATACCATAAATAGATTGGTACAGTTGATTATTTTGAATGTTAATTATTTTACATAAGTCTGAAGTGGAACTGGGATCCTTCCAAACAGTTTAATTAAATCTTAACCTATTGGAATATCTTCACTCACCAATATCATCATATATACTTGTCGGCAATTTGGTTGTAAAATTCAACTGATGCTCTCTGATTTATCATGATACTTTAAGTTGATCTCCTCAACTGCTAAATTTGTCACAATTTTAAACGGAAGACGATTGTTTCTTAATTATATCTATCACGAAGAAATGAACAACATTTTTTGTTTGTAGTAGCAATTATATCTTTGTAACAGTAAACAACTAATGCTATTTGTTGTACAGTAGAATAATTGATCACTCTCATTATTTTATTTCAGTTTCAATTGATTTGTTGATAAATTAATTTCGGAGGGTTATTAATATAGTTGCTATACTTCACTATAGGGGAACTGAACTTTACTGTGCATCTCCTGATTGTTACAGAATTAATCGCTCTTATATTTCGACCTGATTTTCATCTTCTTTTGGTAGGTATGGAAACTTGATCGCATTGTATTACCAATAATCTCTAGAAAAAGTTTCTTTCTATATATGCATTCATAATATTTTAAAGAAGTTTCATATTCTATAAATTAGATTATTAACTTCAATTGAAAATTAACTTCAGTTAATATTTTGTCATCTATATTCATTATTCGCTAGTCCCTGGACATTCATAGTGTTTGTCACGGCAGTATATGTCCATTTATTTAATTTAGCTCTCAGTAAACCTTGTCAGCTGGATTTTATTGTTTCGGCATGTATCAGAAATTAGCTTTAAATTGTCTTTTTGTATAAATCATTTATTTATAATGATTTATAAATGACAGCACTGTGATTTACAACATCATCTTGTTCTTATCTCTTTTTTTATAAAAGCCGGCATTTTAACTTGCCATGCATATTCTATTTTAGATACATCAGTGGATTCTATTTACTTTGGCTTATTTGCATTCCAATTTTCTATTCCATTTTTTTCTAATCAGATTCTGGTAGTTCAATTCTGGTAATTCTGGTAAACTCGTCTTCGCTCTTTTGTAGAAACAATTTTAGGAGTAATAAGATTTGACAAAGAAACCTCATCAAGATGAAACTTTTTCATTTTATATATCAGAGCAAAACTTGATTTTTGATTTGAAGATTATTCGATCTGCATATGATCCTATTGTAATTCATTTTCTTGATGACGCTTCGCCACCGGTACTCTTGATTGAAATTGAAATTATTGAAGAAAGGTTATTCACATTCATTACAGCATTTTAAGTGCTTTATTTTTTAGCGTACGTTTATTGCTTCTGATGTCGTATCAGCCAACGCCAACGTATTGTCAACTTATAAATTGTTATATTCATCTAGTTTTGTTAGATACGCAAACCAACTAGATATTTGCCAACTGTTTTAACCGACGTGATTGAACATGGGACGAGTAAGCGGCCGTTCAATAGCAGCACTGTTACAGGTTACAGGAAACAAAGTTACCATTCTTAACCATGTAAATCCTTCAGAAAGCAATTATTATAAACAGTGATTATAAGCATCACGTTGAGCATTTTGGACCACCACACATCGAGATAATGAGAAACATTTTAAATTAATTTCAATTTCTTGATATTAGGAACAGTGTTTGCAATAAGATAAGAATTTGAATGAAACGAAGTTAATATGAAATTTTATTATCAGTCACCAACGATTCACAAATTGGAAGTTAAGAGCACAAAAATGTATACGCATAAGACACTGCTAGAAGCGGTCCTTTCTGCTCCGACCAAGTCACTGCACTGGTAACACAACACAATATTATGATAACTGATTATATTAAAAAGAGTGAAATAAATACAGCACAAGTGCAATAAATAAATTATACTTTAAACTATTTTGTATGCATGAACGGAGCATATCAGCGAATTACGTAAATTTTGTACATCGTTACGTCATTAACTTTCTTGAACTAATTATCTTTGAGCAAATAACGTATAAAGATAATGAAACTGACAAAAACCGATAACGATTGCAACGGATCGTTTCGTAAGATATAAATTAGTAGAGATTTTCATTTAAGATGTTCATAGCACCTGGAAAGTCATATAAGCCTATTCTTGTAGCATAGAACTATTTCATGTATTTAAGCGGCAACTTTGAAACTTAAAGCAAAACCCGTTCCGACTGCAAAATCACAAAACCAGGATTATACCACAATATCTCAAAATAATGTATAAGTATTTTGTTACTATATACTTTAACAAATAGAACAGATAGATGAACATTTGACAAACACTACCACAGCTATTTGAAAATAGAATGTTACAATGTGGAATTGCAAGTGACAGATGGTCCTTCACGATAATTGTAGAAAACTGATTGTTTGCCACTTAGGATTTTGGTCAGTACAAACATGTATTTTTATCAAACACAAACTATTAATTTAATTTAAATTAGGCACAAGAGACAATATATTAAATAAGTGAATTTGCCTATCTGAATTATTCGATGTCAGTAATAATACAGTAAAAAGAATAAAGTGTATACGTAGTTTTCGGATACTTTGCATGCGCACTATCCCACTAAAATTTCTATCACGATAGCACAGAAAAACAAATTTTCCTAAGTTTTATTTTTCAGCTTCATCTTTTTCAACTGCAACATTTGATAAAACGGATCGTAATTTATTGATCGTCTGAAAGTAAACTAACTTTTGCGAGTAACAAAAATGCAATAAAAATTTTCCCTTGCTTCATTTCGAACAATAGAATACAGAGACATGTAACTCTAGACAGATATGCCGAAGTAACACTCATCCAATGCATTTATTTTTAGATACTCAAGAAACCTACTCAATAGCACTTATCCAGTGATTCATTTCCTCTTGCGAAAAAGCACACATTTTATAAGAAGTGTGCCGACCTACAACCATTCTTCCATCTGGTTCTGTTTTACAAGCTTTTATTACCTGAAAGAAGATTCAATTTGGATTGTTGTGTACATAGTTGTGTACAGTAAAAGATAACAAAGCTCAAAATGATAAAATAAGACAACTGCATCAGAATACTTGAACATTTCGAAGTGACTTAATACTTTATATCTAAATTAAGATTAAAATAAAATTAAGATCAAATAAATTGAAAAAAACCGAATTAAAATCATAAGTATCACCAATATTTCAAATGATACAAAACAATTGTGAACCTCATCTTTCAGACACTGGTTCAATGAAATTTCACTGATAAATACAAACCTCACTGCTATCGCTGTAGATTTCGAAACAGTATGGTTTGCCTTTCTCTTCAATGGCACGAACATGAACATTTTCTAGAGGAATGATTCCTCGTGGCTCTTTTGCCTTCAATACACCGTACTTAACTTATACCAGCACTTCTTTAATGATTCTTAGCAAAATAACTTGACCGATTTTGTAAATAAATAATAAATGTCTCAGTGTTCTGGAAAGAAGTCAGACTTAAATGGGACTTCGCGTTCATAATACCACTGTGAACCTTAGTTGCAGGGTGAATTAAACGTTAAGTCAGTTATGAGAAAAAATAAATTTTCAGAACTCCATACATATGTGAAAAATCTTACCGTCGTATGTTCAAAATAATACAAACATTTCTCAGCTAAAATGAACCACCGTCTCTTCCATGACTTTAAAAATGGACGTGTTGTGGCTAACGAAGATGCTGAAAAAATAAATATTTCCCAGCAAAAGTAAACCACTATCTTTTAATACTTTCGCTTAGTTAAATTAAAACTTTACAAAAAGCATGCAAGAATCAATAAATTCTATACAACAAAAAACCACCTTGTTTCAACAACCATCCTTCTCGATCGGGGTTGAAGAATGTATTATAAAATTCGCCATCATCTGTTGGAAATTGAAAGGGTTCCGTCCGAATAGATTCATAAATACTCTAAAAAGCGAAAAAAGACAAAAATAACTCTAAATTCCACAGTTATCAGCTGTAATCTTCATTTTCTTCATTCTTGACTGGACCAAGTTTTAAAAATCATGAAATTAAGCAAATTCATTGCAACACGTGTTTACAACTATGCCTAGATTCCTAAGATAGAATCAATATTTACTGCCAAACTGTCGTTTAATCTAACAGTGATATTTAAACCGAAAGCACGATTACCTCTAATAATTCTCTAGGAACATCTCTTCCTTCATCAATACCATGATACATCGTTATGAAGCCATCAAGTGTTAATGGAGTTTTCACATTACGATTATGCAGTGCAGTATTGAGCATTACGATTGCAAAACACAATATGTAGCAAGTATCTATAACATGACTTTATATAGTAATTGAATTGTTAACCACTAATGAAACACGAACCCAAGATTACGCGAATCTCCTAATATGATATGCAAAATTTTTTACATTTATTATCAGTGGGCTCGATTAAAAAAGTAATATGGTAAATCAGTTTCAAATGTCTTCACGATGCGAACTATTATTTGATGAAAAATAGGCTTGAGATGATACTCCGACATTCTGGTGCATTACAATATTGAGTTTTAGAGAAGAGAAAAATTTTTCTTCCATCAGGGCGAAAAGAAGATCACGTACAAGGAAAGAAATGGGACACGTATAAGTGAATCAAAAATTTTAGATCACTCTCCAAACTTAACTCCATCAAACTTACCAACGCTAGAAAAAACTCCTGGGTTGTTCGTGCAATAACGACGTGCGAAAGCATTAACCATACGATCAATCTTCTGGGACTCACCGGGTAAACGAAATGACCAGAAAAACTGTCTCAGTGCTTGCACTAAGATGAGATCTGTGAAATCATGCAATTCGCAAAACTTTTCCAACACTTCTAGGTTAAAGGGATTGTTTTCGCCCAAATAATCGCCAACAGCACTTTTTCGTAAACCTAAACAAATCTTGCAGTAATGAGGGATAAAAATCTCATTTACATAAGATATCATCGACAATATGTTTTATAGGTCCAGTGACGCTTTTATTTTTCTGATTCCCTAAATTATTATTGCGGGTTTCAATTATTGTAAAAAGTGAGATAATATAATATTTTTTATCACGTCAATCTATGCCAAGCAAAAAAACTAAATTAATAAAAGACTTACCTTCCCCCTTGTAAAGAAATTCTGCAACCGATGCAGGTGAATTATGAATAAGGTTATGCTGAATCATATATTCCATACCCTTCTTGGGATCTACATTAAAATTTTTCCGAGCTATAGACATATGCCTTCCATTTGGGCTGTATCTGAAATACAAACCTTAACAAACCTTAAGATATCACTGCAGAAAATCCTACCCATAAGAAAAATGTAAAACAAAAAACTTAAACAAAAACTAACTCTTCGTCAGGAATATCGATTGTTGCCAACTGCGCGTTAATTTCATCCAGCTCTGACCGGATTTCCTATAAAGATACTTATAATAAATCGTCTGAATTAAAAATATTTTATACAAAACGATTTCAGAAATAACAAATCCAAAAACAAAAGAAAAAGTAAAATTTACCTCAACATCTTCATTGATTCCAGAACGACGTGCACGCAAAAAGGCGAGATCCTCTAATTCGGCAGCGGTGAGATCGGTGGTATTAAAATAAGCCATCAAAGTAATTACATGGAATCAGTAAACATGAATTAGATAATTATTAAATTTCCTGAAAATAATCGTTTAATGGGCAATAATTTCTGAAATATGATCGCTTATTCAACAGCAATTAACATTTCGGAACCCTAAAGTGAATAAATTTCCACTCTTTCTTGTTTCTCATTTTTCCTTACATAGTTCAATGTTCTTTCTCACTGGTCAGTTGACTTGCTGAGCGTTCTACAGTTTCAGCACATTTGCTTGTTATATATGCCTTCTAAATCTTAAAAAAAAGCGATAATTCAAAACCCCGTTCCTCATTTTGCTTTCAATCAAATTAAAAAAATAATATCCAGTAACATGGAGGGTTGGAAGAGTTGTCATCTCATCTGTATCGTATTTTTCGACACCGTAAAAAAAAGTTAAGAAAATGGTAACACCTCAAACCATACTAATTTTTTATTCCGCGTGATCAATCGACAACAATCAAATGAAATATGTGACAAGACCAAAACACAATTATGTCGACCCATGCTTTTCTGGCCACAAAAAAAACAAGAACTCCTAACAACATACCTGTGTCAGTTGACTAAAACCTCGTCTTCCGCCGCAAGCCCACACTTCGCATTTTTCGGCAATTCGTTGCGAGAGCCCAAATCTTTATCACCAGCATTAAAATCTCTTCACTAAGGATCCAAAGGAAGTCACCTTCAGGATTTCACTAAATGCAACGAAAATTGTTGCAGAATGTTTTGTGCTGACGTTAATTCCTCCAAAATTAAGTGTCTTCTAACTTCCGCCAGTCTCAATTAATGACGACGTTTCAAAGCAATTAATCCTGTCACTAAATAGGAGATTGTGTACTTTAATAAATTAACTGCTGTAAGGATAATTTCGAATATTTTATACACAAAGTGAATAGAAGAACGCAGTAAATTCTAAAGACTGCTAATCATATAGGTAATAAATATAACAACAACTTGGAAACACACAAATTTAAAAAAGTAATTCAAGCTAAGGCACAAAGATAAAAAAGATATTTGAACAAAAATGTCCAAAAAAACAGACAAATAGTTCCACTGGCATTGCAAACCAGTGACTAGACATCACAATGAAGTGAAAAGTGAGGAAAACTGCGAGAATCAAAAATATAAGAAGTTAGTCAAAAAATGAAATGCGAAAAATTTAGAGGGAAGATGATACGAAATATTTGAAACACAAGAGCTACTGAGCAGCAAAATGCCCGAAAACTGTGAAAAACTCTATAAATACGATTTTGCAAAAATTAGCATCTGCAAAACAAGATTTATATCTAGTGTTACAAGTTCATTTCGCAAAAAAAAATAAGTAGTACCATAATTTTACTGCAGTAAAAATAATGCATATCTTAAAGATTGAGCGAGTATAAGGAGTGACACTACGGAAAAGACTTTAGCAGTCCTGTAACCCTATGCTGCTTTGGAAAAAAACTTTGCAGAATCTGTAAAATAGATATCTTCTCCTTTTCTTACAATTTCAATAATAAATCGTCAACAAGAGATTTCACTGTTTGTTCATTTGAACTATTCGATTCATGCACTTCAACATTTTCTGACTCCGTATCTGCGATCTTTATTACAGGTGATAACTTTTCTCTTGCTGCAACGAAACACAATCAGCAACTGATTACTCTAACACTCACGACTGAAATGAAGATATACAATATTTCTGTCGGCGAAACACTACATGAATTTCAATCATAAAACAGTAAACACAAAAAATTCGTTTAGATGCCTTATCGACGATTGGAGCAGAGAGGAATGAATATAAGAACTGGACAGCTAGGATCAGAAATCTAACATCACCGATAATAATAATGCAAAAAAATAGAATAGTTTGGCATTGTAAGTCTTTCTTTCACGAGTGCGTACATGAAGCTGTATCCAAGAATACAGCTACTCAATTACCAATAAATATGGTCTTAAGAGTTCTAATGGCCATTTTAAAAATTAAAAAAAACATACCATTCTGTTTAGCAATATCCTTAGAACACGATGAACTATTAGCAGAGAATGACGACTCTCCAGTTGAAGGATAAGTATTTCTGCAACGTGAGCAGTAAAACTTACCTTTAAAATGAAAAAATTAACATTATTATATGCAATTTTCATTTGTCTTAGTACGAAATCTGAAAATTTAAATCTGCAAACCGGTTAAGATCTAGAGCATTATATATATCTGATGAAGCTGTACGCGAGTTGGCGGGATCTGATAATGGTAAATGAGGTTCTTGCTTCTGCAAAAGCGTGTGAAAACCCATTTTTTTTGCCATATTCTGAAAGGAAAAATAAAACAACTAATTTTCAATTACCTCTCAAAAACATATCAATAAATTTTTACCAATCATTCAAAGGAGAATGAAGTCTTTGAGAATTTCGTTCCCAACAACATCTTACGTATAAACTGTATCTATGAAGACTGCTTAACTCATTAAACATAATCCTCTTTGATTCAACAAATTCAGAAAATCTAAACGAAGAGGCAAAAAAGTGAACCGACTTTCAGAACAAACCTGAAATTCGATGACTGATAAAAAAGGTTGTAACTGTTCAATAACTTTCCAATCTAATGGGATTATCTTTCGGTTTTGAGAAGCTAGAATTAACTGACGAATATCGAAGCCACTTTGATTACTGCGTTTGTTATCTACTTGAAAACCGGCATCGGTACAGATCGTAAGTTGAGGACGGTAGGACTTCAAAAAATTTTCACTTTTTACTGAAAGTGGTTCCGAACTTCGTTCACTACAAGAAAATCCAGTTTTCAAATCGCATAATCGTTGCTCCAGTTGCATAATTTCACCTAGAATATATGCAATGCGAAAATCTTCTTACCATACTGTAAATTACGGAGAAATACAAATCCGTTACGAATTTCTAATAACTGCATTAAAATACCAACCAGGAGATAGGTCTGGATAAAATGATTCAATAAATGCAATAGGAAAACGAGAAAGTTCGTCATCTGTAATGCTTAGGATGTACTCGCGAGAACTGATGCGTTTATCCAGTGCACTGTGCATGTCAATCTGTTCGTCAGATGCATTTCCAAGCTTATCAGAAGGAAAGAAGGATGGTGTAACGTCAACTTTCTGTAATTTTAATCATTTTAGTGAGGGAAATCTCTTGATTTTGTTTAAAACAAACACAAAGTTTCCAGAGTTCAAATAAACAATGAAATAAAAATATGAAGAAAGGGGAAAAGTCAGTAACTGGAACGTCAAATTTATCTATATTCAAGCCCCGTTGACAGCATTATAATGAGAATAAATAACCTTTGCCGGTGAAATTTCCTCAAAAACTTCCCAGTTTGTTGATGCATGGAGCGGCACCATTGCAGATGGCTGTGCAGGTTTTCCCGGCAATTCTGATGGATGCGCAAGCTGCAAAGTAGTGACATCCGGAAAAGGTTCAATTATGACCGGTTCGTCCAAGATTTCGGACTGATTTCCAATCGTTGCGTTCGTCTCGACAGATCGAGCGCAAAATCCACAGTATCGTAATATGAACATCCCCGTAGCTGGTAAGAGTGATTCATGGAAAAAAGTTTCCGTAAATTTGCACTGAGTAAAGCGGCTTATGTCACTATTCTATGTCTTCGCCCACACATTTGCATGTTTTTCGGTCCTCGTTCCTCCATCCCACAAACTCCTTAAGGACTTCCAGAGATAATTAATCCGAACATTCAAGCGAACCTACAATTCCGACTTAATACTGACGACCAATGGGAAATATGTTTTCATGTCGGAACGGTCAGTAACGGGCCGCAATAGAACAGGAGTCTATTTTGGTCATGCCGTCAGGGAAGAGGTGGAGGGAGGGTTGCGGCATTTACACGTATTCTCTTTCGATGTGGCGACATTACTGAGTGACTATAGGGAAAATTGTTTTTTCTTAGGATAGTCCATGGATGGATTGCTCTGTAGAACTCGCTTATATTTTCATCTCTCATGCCTTGCAATTCTTGTAATTAAAGTTGAGTATGACCATTACTTTGTTGTCACCAAACATGATGATTACAGACGGTAAGCGGGATTTCATCATCTATCATTCTTGATTCTTGCAACGAGAATGACTCACTAGTGAAAATGGTTAGGTTTTCATTCCTGAACGAGGATATAAAATCGAAATGCTGCCAGATACTGCACACTTCAGATCTTTATATTCGGTACTGGTTTCTGGTTACATCCTGTTTGTTGTTTTATTGTTTATAATGAACTGTTGTGATGCTAATGAAAGCATTGCCATATTAGCAAATGATGTCAGTAGAGATGAAAAGAAGTTTCTAATTTACGACGTCAATTACGGAGAAGGATTTAACCTACGTCGTGATGTTTTTATGAGGTAATTCAGAATCCATTTGTTTGTTAGCTCTCTTTATCACTGTGCAAAAGACTGAAAACTTTAAATTCGATTTCTCTTTATCATTAAGCAAAAAGGCTGAAAACTTTAAATTGTTGCTATGGTTTTACGACTACACATAATTAAGTGTCAAAATGAATTCATTTGTATTTTTTCCCCATGCTACGTTAGAAATTATGGTTTCGATCAGAATTTGTTATGAGTTGTTATTCAAATGTCGCTTTACAGAATAGCAAATACAGTTAGAATTTTGCGAGAACGTGGTCATAATTATGTGCTTGTGCTACCTCCATGGGGTGGTCTTTATCATTGGCGGAGACATCACTTGAAAATACCTTGGTCGAAGTTTTTTCACATTCAGAGTATTAATGAATTTGTTCCCGTGATTGAGTTTCACAGATTTTTAAAAGGTATGCTTTTAGTTATCTTCATGCTACAGGAGAAGTCCTTACCCAAAGAACTTGAGTTTAAATATATTTTGCCGAAATTGGATGTTGACATCTTAAAGTTATAGAAAATGAAGAAGGAATGAATGTAATGTTTTGGTTTTTATTGAGAACGAAGTCGGTTAGAATCGCATAACCTTTTGAGATTAAAGTAAGAATAATTACAAAATTAGTCTGTTAACAGTTCAACTTATTGCAGCTTTTATTTTTAGAAACGAATTACGATACTATCGATGAAGTATTGTATTTACAAGGTTATGCAGAAGGATGGACTGGTGGAAAATATGAAATTAAATATGATCGGCGGAACTGCATCAGTAATGATCCTCATTACAAATTCATTGATGGACTTTGGTACGATTCCAGAGCATTAAATTGGATGAAATACTTTGAATGAAAGTCATTATTTTTCCTGATTTGGTGTTGACTTTTTGCACTGTTTATTCTTGAATCCTCTTAAGACCAAATTTGGTACCGAGAATACTTTTTTCAGGAAAGGCTGGTTTTTTGCCTTTGAAAATGTTTATGCCCGCAAATTTTCGTGCATTTCAATTCAAGGCGATTCAGAGACACTGGCTAATATGATTCAAAAAGACCATCACCATGCGAATTCATTGATGATTGATCGCGCAGAAACGGTGCTTCATTCACATTTTGGTGATTTTCATTATTGGGAAGCGAGGCGCTCCATGCGTTACGCAAAGCACCTGCGTCTTGTTGCTGATGAATTTAGGTAACCTAACAAATGAGTTGGGATGTTGATCAATCATTCTGAAACTGTTCACTCTGAAATTCTCATGCAGCGTTTGAAATAGAAAAGCTAAATGTCGCGTTTTGATTCCTCGACGTATTTTTGAAAGTTTTGATACACATTTAAGGCAAGAACGATTGAACTCAAATGATGTGAGAGATGGAACTCTGCTTTCTGACTCATGGAAGACAACGAGGAAAGTATGTCATTTTAGCTTAATACATCGAATGAAATCTTTTTAAAACTGATTCAGCTGAAGAACTTTTTCCAGGAACATGGTGAAGCGCAAGGAGGAGACTATATATGTGTCCACTGGAGACGTCGCGATTTTGTACGATCTCATAGTGCTGATATACCATCAATCAATGGCACCGCCAAGCAGGTTTTAGTGCTTGCTTGAGTGTTAAATACATGAAAATATAGTTCGAACATCGTGTGAATATATTTTATTCTAAACTATGGGACCAGGAGGCTGGGACGAAATATCCGGGCTTTTTCTTTGTTTAACAAGTCTGGCATTCTTGAAGATTGTTGTGATTCTGCGAAAGGAAAGCCTCACTACTATCTATTTATGTACCGATGCTCCAATTGCGGAAGTGAATACCCTTATCAGTCTCTTGCCGTCCGACACACAAGTTGAACGATTCCTAAACGACTCATCTTTGATTGATGGAGAAGTCTCCATTGTTGATCAGGTTCTGTACTTTCCTGATTTATAGTAACCCGTTTGCTAACGCCAAATCTGATTAGATTTTCTTGCTGTTGGCGTACTTAGATGTTCCGTTGCAGTGGATATGCGCACATGCCCGCTATTTTATTGGTACCCATACATCAACTTTCTCATATCGGATACAAGAAGATAGAGAAATCCTGGGCTTCAAACCAGAGAAAACCTTTAACAGATTGTGTCCCGATGGTGACGACGATTGCGAACAGCCCGCCAGATGGACGATAGTTTATAAAGAACCATCCAATCGTTATTGATATACGTGTAATTAGGTAAATTCTATTTCATTATTTATAATTGTGTGCGCAGTATGCAGAATCCAATTTTCTTGAATATAAATTTATCAAAATTTATTCCCTGAACCTATCAAAATAGTATCCAGGAGAAATACAACGAAATTGTGACATATACATGTTAATTTTTCAACAATCAATATAAAAAATAAAAAATCCTCATCAAACTCGAATGGGTGCGCTTTGCGCAAGGAATTCCCAATAACGTTGATATGGGGTCTTTTCTAAAGATTGCTCCTTCCACAAATCAGGCGTTAAATATGAATAGGTACGTTGAATCGCTGCATATGTTGCCTGAATCATAAAAAAGGTTCCATTGATACTATCAGGCCTTTTCGGTCTTGCACCATAATGCACCTTCCAATGGAAGGAGGAGAGTTATTCAAAAAGACTCAGGCCACAATGTGTGTCAACCGTACCTTTTAACTCAGCTCTCGATTAATTACAAATTATTCCAATTCAACCATCTCAAACAAGAAACTTACTTTCGCAAAATTTCCCAGCGTAGCAGTTTGTCCAACAGCGGACGTGTAACAATCTTCCACGCCAGCCATCTGAAGCAGTTTTTTTGGCACAGGTGCTGATACAATACCAGTGCCCCTGGGAGCAGGAATAAGGCGCACTAGTACTGAACCACATTTTCCAGTGACCTTAAAAAAAGTTTGAGATATTTTATACACAAATATAATGATTGAAACATTTAACTCTCTCCTCAAACCAAATAAAAAATACCTTGCAAGGGACGGTATGCGGTTGGCCGATTTTGTTACCCCAATATCCACGCCGTACGGGGATCACTGATAACTTTGCTGCAATGATCGCACCACGAATAGCTGTTGCTACTTCTTTTGAACACTTCACCCCCAACCCTACATGTCCATTGTGGTCTCCAATAGCAACGAAGGCCTGAATAGCGATTTTATAGATGTTTCAAAGATCTGCAAGCAAGCATTACTTACCAGCTTTACAGTTCTAATCATTATGCCTTTACAAACCTTGAACCGTGTACGTTGTCCAGCACGGGTTTGTTTCTGCACTGGCATTATTTTCAATACTTCATCCTTTAAATTAGACAGCAACATGTCGATAATTTCATATTCCTGAAAAAAGAACTTTAAAAAAGATTTACTTAACTTTGGTGGACGAAAGATACTTACTTTGATTGGTAACGAGTTCAAATAAATTTCTTCAAGTGAAATGATTTTTCGACCTTTGACCAAACGTCCCAGCTTTGTTACCGGGACCCATTCTTTATCACCTTCTTTTCCACTTCTAAATATCAGGAATGAAAGTTGTGGAAACAGTGATGAGTACGTCATACAATAGGGATAAATATAAAATTTGAAGGGATAAGATTCCCTGCGTAGGCTTTATCCCTGCATATAGCAGAAAGTCAACATGGTTTGAAAGAAAACTGGCCACATATTATTTACATCAAGTGAAACTACTGTTTCGCTACTGTAGCAAATATCAACAAATCCATCGACCATTGAAAACATAAGCACCACTTAAATGAAAATAGTATTAACCTTCCATCACGTCCACCTCGACCACGACCACGACCACGACTTCGTTCAACACCACCACGACCACCTCTACCTACATTATTTCATTTTGCTTTAGGAAACGCGTAAATACCATAATAATTTGAATTGGAAACATTTCCCGTTGTATTGGTCTAGAACACATCCAACCCTTATTTAGGAAAGACAGCGGATGTAAAATTCCATCAAAAACTTTATCAGATCGAGCAAGCAGTGTAACACCATGAAATGAAATACCTACGAACTTGAATTTTAACGAACTCTTCCTCAACACTGTTCTTTTTTAGGATACCAGAAACATAAGAAGCACTTACCACCTCGATCGCCACTACCAAATCCGCCTCGAAAACCTCCACGTTCAGCCATATTGAATAAATTCAACTCTTAAGAATAGACATTCAAAAAAATATGTAGAATTTATGGCCGACGAGTGGAAACGGATACGTACGAAGGAAGTATGTGGCCGAAGAGAATCCGGCATGAACAAGCGTAAAATGGTAAGTGTTTCTGTAATTAAGCGATGGACCAACACAGCATCTAATATGTTAAGCCACTTACCAACACATTGCAACATTTTTTATTGCACTCCATGAAAGGGCAGAAAATTAGAAATACAACCACTTAAAAAATGAGATTATACAAAGTACACATTATTATGAGATCCTTTCTAGCCAAGACTGCTACTGCAGTATGTCTAATCGGTTTAGTACGATACGGAAAATAACATCTCTTAATCAAAGACTGAAAGAATGCTACTTAAGGTGGACGAAAAAAACTACGAGAATGGCGGCATATGGTTGAAAATTATATGATATGTGGTACAAAGAATTAAGGCCAAGGGAATTTTGTGCAGACAAAACAGTGTGATAACAACTGAATAATACTAAACAATTTGAGTGAGAGAGACATATTATCCTGAGAAAAAAAAACAGCTTGAACATTCAAGCTACTATAACTATTAATTCCGACAAGGTCTAAAAATTGATATATAATATCATAACGCACAGTTTAAAAGTTGACTTCGCCATTGAAAGGGCAAATGAGAGAGTTCAAATGGGGGGTGAAGCGGAGTTTTACAGGACTAAAAATTGTACAGCTCGAAACTGGAGGAAGAAAATTCCCCTTTAACAACAAAACTAGCAAGAAAACTTGTTATGCGACGAAACTATCACTGGTAATCATCAGCTTCAAAGAATGTACGACGATCGTAGAGAGCACGACCTCCACAGCAATGTTATGACGTTGGTTTGGAGGTCCAGAGAGCATCATTCATTCCGAATTATCCTTCCATCCCACTCCTTCTCCCCTAAAGCTCTCAATGGACCACCCAGTGAAACCACCCAAGTTCTCGTATGACCCTTCAAGGGACGCGCTACCTAAAATTTGACCTCGCTCTTTTGCTACAAAATGTATTAGCGAGTGAAGAGAGTATGCGTGCAGATGGGAGACAGTAGACGACGAGGTGAAGCGGTGCAAAGGATGGTTGGAAGGAGAAAGACATCACTTACTGGAAGTGGTGGGAAGGTGCCGATTGGGAGTCGACGTGGTTCGAGGGGATGATACCGCGAGGAACTGCTATTAACGGGCCGCGAGATTGACAGTTCCAAAATCAGCACTCGTCAGCATAGTGTCTGTCGGTTGTGCTGTTTTATAAGACACTTTGTGGTGCGGTTCTTGCACGAGTCTGCAAGGAAAGTTGGAACGTGTAAATGAGATCAGGGAATGATAATATTAAAATTCTCGGAAATGAATTCAAATGAGGATAAATAATCCTATGGTTGGTGTGCAATGTAAACGCGTTAGTCCTGTGGGCTCTCGATTTAAATTTAAGCTTGTTTTGAAACTCATTATTAAAACTGGTGAAAATCGAAGATTTGGTGAATTCTGGAGGTTACTAAGTGTTGCATCTTGTGTCTTTTAAAAGATTGTAATATTTGACATTTTTCTGCACATTGAAATACTTAATGCCTTTTGGCATAATGTTCGGTGGTGTCTTATGAAAACTTGACATCCTATAATATAACTCCTTTAAAATGCAATGTAGTTATACATTTTCAGGCAGTTCTATATTCGTTAAGCGCGGTTAATGAAACAATGGATTACAAATGTATATTATTTTGCTTAACTACTGTCATCACATTTTTTAATTCATTATCGGGTTAGTTCCAAATTACTATACAGTAAGGAAAATAAGCTCTAGTTTTTGAACATGACTGCAATATGCGTTGAGAATTTAAGGGAGTGGAAAGGTAAAATGTTCATTTTAGCTGCAAGAGCAGATTCACTTTTATGTGAAAGCTTGACTTCAAAGGCTTAACTATGTATCACCACGAGAAGCAGAAAGATCCATCTTTCTAGTGATGTCAGTTGGGTATTCTGTTTCAAAATTTTGATTCTCATATGGTTTTAGCAAATGTCATGAGCTCATGATCAAAAAAATTGTCAGCATGCATTGCGTTGTCAGCAGCACACCAAATCATTAAATCATACGAAATAAAAATAAACCATCAAATTTACCGCTAAGGAAAGCCAAAAAGTTGGAGATTAATGAGTTAGCAGTAATATACAGCAATCAGGTTTTGTGGCTTTTTAATGCAAATACACTTTTTGTTGCAGTGGCTTTTTAATGCAAATACACTTTTTGTTGCAAAATGAAGTTCTGTTTGAGCTAAAAGCTTTTCTGTAAAATCTTCATAACGAATTTCTCACTTTTATAGATGCGTCGCTTGCAGCTATGTCCATAGATTTTGGTTCGCAGTGGATCAAAATGGCTTTGGTGAAACCAGGTGTACCGATGGAAATAGTGTTGAATGGAGAAGCACGTAGGAAAACACCAAACCTAATCATTATTAAAGATAACGAACGTCTGTTTGGTGATGCGGCATTGTCTTACGTAAGTGTTTTATACGTAAGGTTCTTGAAAGTTTTTCTGATTGAGATATGAAAGAATTGATAATACGATCGAAACTAAAAAGTTTTTGTATCAAGTATCATATTTCAAAAATTGATTTTATTTGAAAGCCGAGTTTTCGTTGTGTATATTGGTTTGTATAGATATACATTCTTGGTATCTAAGTCCATCTTTTCTTGAACTTTTTAGGCGGTTAAATATTCGAAAAATTCTTTTACTCATTTGGTGGATCTTTTGGGCAAGAAAACCAACAATCCAATTGTTTCACTTTACAAAAAACGATTTCCGCATCTAAAATTGATTCTGGATGGTGCTAGAGATGTCGTGCAGTTCGATGTGTAAATTTCATATATTTCTTAAAAGTTGTCAGAGACGTTGCTCTATATTTAAGATATCTTAAGAAATAAAAAACTAAGTTGATTTTTGCCGAAACCGTATTGTAGGGATGGCGAGATTTACTGTGTTGAGTCTATAGTGGCAATGATTTTGAGACGATGTCGCGAAGTGGTTGAGAATTTTGCGAAACAGCCTGTTAGAGATGTGGTTATTACAGTTCCAGTATTTTTCAATCAGGCAGAACGACGTGCTCTGGTTGCAGCAACTAAAATCGCCGAATTGAATTTACTGCAAGTGCGGTTTGATTTTGATTTGTTCTTTTGATTACCTTTTTGGAAATTCAACACCGAATCTTTTTTCTTTAAAGATGTCTCTCTTTAAGGAAAAATTATCTTGAAAGTGAATAAATTCCATTTTTTCTCTAATCTTTATACTATTTATAAATTTTATTTTGAACAGTTTATGTGTATTATTTTCGACTTTTTCTATCTTTCAAGTTGCTGAATGATCATACTGCTGCTGGAATAAACTATGGTGCATTTCGAAGGAAAGAAATCACTGAAAATGCACAAACTTTATTAATTTATGACGTTGGAGCAACAAAAGTTACTGCTTCGGTGTTAGAATATGTATTAGTGGAGGAAAAGAAACGAGGTGAAAAGAATCCAGTTATGACAACACTAGGAGTCGGGTAATTTTAAGGAAATAATTGTTTTGAATTTTTGCACTTTTAATGCTCGAAGGCCACACATTTAATAGTTTTACGGATCAATGTAAATTTTTCCAATTTGAAATGTGTTACAGCTATGACCGCATGGCTGGTGGTTTTGAAATTACGCAAAGGCTGCGAGCTATCTTTATAGACAACTTTCGCAAAACGAAAAACACCAAAACCGATATAACAAAAAATCCACGCTCTATGGCGAAAATGTTACAAGAGGCAGAGCGTGTCAAAATTGTATGTTTTACCGACAGTGATTTCGGATATTTCAAGTAATTACAAGTTGCAATTCTGTTCTATTGCAGGCAGTGACAATTATGTTCATGACCAGGCAGTCATAACTTAAATCGATTTTTTTGATTTTTTTTTACTTCAGGTGCTTTCGGTAAACACCAATTTCACTGCACAGATTGAAAATGTCCACGAACACCAGGATTTTTCCATGTCAGTGACCAGAACAATGCTGGAAGATGCGATGAGAGATCTTGAAATAAAATTAGTGCAACCTATTGTGGATGCTTTAAAAATGGCTGATCTGTCACCGGAGAAGGTTTAATTTGATTTTCTTGTTTTCTTTTTTTTCACATTAGAATCTTTTCATATTTACAAACTGTTTTCGTGACGTCTGCATGGACGCAGTGTTCTGTGTTTCCAGGTTAATCAGGTAGTGCTGATGGGTGGTGGGAGTCGCGTTCCTTTAATCCAAGAATTTGTTCAGAAATTCTTCAAAAAGTAAGAGTTTTTTTATTGAAGAACATGCATTATTTATTAGTGTTTTTTATTCTAAAATTTGGATCTCTCCGAGTTTTTCATTGATTTATTTGGAGGAAAGAGTTGGGGAAGTTCTTGAATACTGATGAAGCAATTGCAATTGGTGCAGTTTACCAAGCAGCGCATTTAAGTAAGGGTTTCAAAGTCAAGAAGTTCGATGTACGTGATTTGCAGATATTTCCAATAGAGGTCTGTTAACTTTCATGTGATATTTTGTTGAGATTATTTGCAAAACTAAGATTTACTGTATTGTAGATTAGGTAAATTATAAGATTATGAACGACTTCAAAACTCCATGTCCTTCATCGGACTTTTAGCTTTATCATTTTTTTTATTTAAGGTTGATTTTGTTAGTGCTCATAGCAAGGACGAAACAGGCGCAAGGCGGTTAATACGTCGACCAATATATCCAATGAAATCGTTTATACCTGCATCTAAAAAAGTTTTGTCATTCACTTCATTCACGGAAGATTTTTCCATGAATATTAATTATGGAGAAATACGGCAGCTCAGCTCAAATCAGCTTATGTAGGTGCTTCAACCGCTATTTTTTATTTAAATCAGGAGTTTGAAAAATCTACCTTTTTTATTACTCTTTGAATTATGTGACTTAACGTACAAATAGTTATACCTTTATAAAATCAAATAATGTTTTAGGGAATTCGGCTCATTCAACATTAGTGAAATTAAAATAGGCGGTGTTAAAGATGTATATGTAAAAGAAACAGCAAAAGAAGGCACCATTTTCAAGGTTTTTTGTCTGTTTCGAATATGCTTTGATTTTCTTTGCTTTATCTATTAGTATAATTTCAATGAACAATTGTGCTCTAAATAAATCATTGAGCAAGATTCTTTCGCCTACGGTATTTGTTTTTATCTAAATTTATTTAATTTCAGCTACCTCAGGAATTTGTGAATTTAGTCAATATAAGGTATCGAATTCACTTTTAGGGAATAAAAACGCATTTCGATTTGGATAATTCGGGAATTTTGCATGTTGACGGAGCCGAAATGTTGTTAGAACAACCACCAAAAACAGAGTCGACACTTGCTTGTAAGTATTTAAGAAGTTATAGAAGCTTTGCAGATTTCGTTTTTTTATGCAAACTAATGGGAAATTTTATTTTTAACGAGTACTTCGACGACTTTGATATAAAATGATTTTTTAACATATTTTATTTATATTTCGTATACCTCATTTTTTGTAGCACTTGCTGGAAAAATTACTGGATTATTTTCATCAAATAATAAAATGGATGAAACTAAGGAGAAAAAGCAGGATAATTCAAAATCTGAAGAAATAAACGATAAAAGCCATGACCCTATTGGTACTGCGGAAAATCAAAGTAAAATCGAAAAGCCTGCAGGCGATAATGTTAGTCCATGGTTATTTTATAGATTCACGTATGTTATAAAATTGCAAACATTTTTCCTGTTTATAAATTAAGAACTCAATTCATTGCAGGTAACGAGCGAGCCAGCGGAAGCAAACAGAGTGTGTCTCCATAGTTATTTCACTGATAATTCTATTTATTTTCTTCATTCATTGCACTATTAGTTTATTGATTTCTCTTACAAGCAATAAACTGACATTCGTTGTGATCGGAGCTTCTTTAATTACTTTTGTTAGGCATATTTGGTTTAATACTATGCCTGAAAAAAAATAGTTTACATTCATCTTTTATTTGATTTGCCCGGTTTATCAATGAACAACAAACTAGCTTTATCCGAAAAGGGAAAAGTAACTTGAATTTGAAATTATAATTGTTGATAGTTCCGAAATATACACATCATACAAATTAGGACCTACAAATCTGTAGAGCTATGAATTTGCTACTGAAATCTCATCATCTTAAATTATGGAATATTTTTTTTTGCTTTCTTTCAAATAATGCACTGTTTTCATTTTAGACAGTTACAAATGTGGCAGAAACGAAATTAAACGAAAAGCCTCAGCAAATCAAAATTTCCCTGAAATTGATGGAGGACATACTGGATGTCCAGCCAATTTCCAGCAGTGAAATCACTGCTGCGAAGAACAGGTAATTCTGATGGGATATCAGTCTGTGTTTAGGGTTGGTCGGTTGCACTTTCTTCCAGTTTAACTTTCCGAAATATGACTTTCAGGATTGCTGAATTTGAGAAGAAAGAAAAAGAAAAAGCGATTCGTGACGAAGCGCATCATGATCTTGAATCATTAGCTGTTGATCTTAGTGACAAACTTACGCAGGATGAATTCAGTGTACAGATCTTTTTACTTATTTTCAAGTAATTGCGTTTGAAGTTTCACAAAAATATCATTCAACTTTCGGAAACTTATTACAGCGGTTTTTAACTGCTGATGAGCATGTCGCGCTGCAAAAAGAGATATCGCAAGTGAAAACTTGGTTGGAAGACGATGTTGATATTAATACTCCAACAGCTGAATTTGTGCAAAATAAGAAGGCAATCGATGAATTGTTACAACCAGTTAAAGTCCGTATAACAGAGGAACAGGTAACTCTGCGGTTTTCAAAACGAACTTTTGCTGTTATAAACCGGTTTAAGCATATTCCAGTTAATATTTTACTATTGCAGGAACGTCCTGCAATAGTGGCTGAACTGATTTCAATGTTCAATCACACAGAAATGTTCTTGCTTCTTGCACAAAATCTTACTGAAGCCGAAGTATTCACAGAAATTGAAATCAATACTTTAAGCAAATTGCTTGATGGAACTAAGGTATGCAAATAAACTAACTAATACTGATGCTCGAAATTTCTTAATTTGAGAAGCGAAAAAATTGTGAAAAAAAAGCAACATTAAAATGGGATAATGAAGTGCAGTAACTATAATAAATCATCTGGACTATATATGTAAATTCTAGAATTGGCTTACGGCGAAAATGGAGTTGCAGAGTAAATTAAAACCAACTGATTCACCAGCGCTTCCAGTCACTGAGGGGAAAGAGAAGGTCAGTATTTAGTAAATGGTAAAATGAGTTCCATAGTTTCAGTTTCAGAAATAAAAGACAGATGATGGCTTTATTTTCAGAAACAATCTTGGAAACAGTATATTTTTAGACAAAAACTTGCTTATTGGGCTGATCAGATCAAGAGTTGAGAGCTTCACAGTAACAGCATTGTTTTGACACAACTGACACAGTTGTAAACATTTTTAATGTATTTGGTTCGATTTCAGTTAATGTCGCTTGATCGTGAAGTAAAATATTTATTAAATAAGATGAAATTTGCAAAACCAAAAGTTAAGACGGAAGAAAAAACTAAGGAAACAACTGCTGAGAGCAATGAAACCTTATCGGAAACAATGGAGGAACCAAGAACGGTCTCGGAAGAGAAATCAAATGAAGTGTCAGGGGATGCGCAATCTCTCGAAGATGCGACTGATGTGAAGAAAAACGAGAAACTGAAAGATGATGAACAAAAAGACGGTGTACCACACGATGGTTCCGAGCTTTAGTTTTTGCTTGTTTCAGTTTCCATGATTTATTATTCATAGCATTATTCATTTGTTGTTATTGTTTTGTTCATAAATAAATAAGCGTATGTAAGTTAATTTCTTTTAGTTCTGCCTCATTAAATAAGTGATATACTCAGATTGACGGGATTTGCTATTTATTGTTCCTAAATATTCCAATTCTTCGTGAATTAATCAGATATAGTTATCGTTACCGAAAAGGAACCATTCATATCAGTTTTTTGTTGTTCCGTATTGTGATAGTATCTGAGTAGTTAGTTACCTTATTTCCTTTTTTGTTCATTCATTTGTTTTTCCTCTTTTCTGTTTATTTATTGTTATTTTTTTTTTGTTATGATATTTTGTGATTGGAATATTTCCAGTTTGCTTTTATTAGTACCCGTGATTTTTACTATAAAATGCGGCTTCATTCATCACCTGTGCTTTACTGTGTCTGACATGGCTGGTTCAAATAATGTTCAGGATAAGTGGTTTGAAAGTTTATGAGATGAGTGCTATTTAAGATTCTTCACTGTTTCGGATGGAATGTCGCAATGTTGTGAAACTGTTGAAGCGGTGCTCACATGACAGTATCTTATCATAATAATTCGTGTAAACAAGATCATCTTTCTCCTCCGTAAATATGATTTTTAATAAAAGCTGAGTTTTTGGTCCATTTTTTTTAGTTTTTGGTCTATATATTTTCTCTGGCACTAATATGGAAATAGTGATGCTGAAATATCTTTGATATAGTGATTTTAGCGAAAATTTAAATGAGTGTTTTGGAACACTTATTTTTCTTATTGGGTCGTTATAAAGCCAACTTTCTTCAATGTACTTTTTCCAGTTTTTGGCTGAAGTTTTTGAACGTAGTAGTATTATCGCGTTTAATGGTTTCTCGACTATTAAAATTTTTATATTTCCTAGGTTTTTAGTTTTCTAAATTTAGTATTAACTCGTAAATCTTTGGATCTGTTGTAAGCGTGTGCCAGGACCAGAGATATCAAAGTCGGGGTGGTGTTATGTCTTCCATTTTAATGAAAAGCTGAGAGATGGATCATTTTTCGATTGGTTAATTTAATGCTTCGGTGATCTCTTGAATCTTCCAATCCCGTTGAGTGATGTGCACATAAGGCGAGTTATATGTAGGAAAACGCAGGATTTGTAACTGTTAGTAAATTGCAGTCTGTTAATTATTATGAATCTCATGCGTTGTGGGAACATATTCATCGTCCAGCAAAAAGTCTATCATTGAACATGTATTATCAACTTATGCGCAACCGCTTATAAAGAAACTTCCTTTATGGATTAATATCTTATCTGTTGAGTAATCAATCATGTCAGATCCTACCGAAGTTAATCAGAAACAAGTTCATCGAAACATTGAACTTCTGACTTAAATCTATGAAGAGAATTTTTTGTGTCTTGCATTAATAAAAATCTCGAGAAGACGTTCCCAAACTTCAATGATAATAATTTTGTTAAAATTCGTATTCTTTAAAGTTTCATCAGTTCTAAAATTTCATTCTTCCTATTGAATAAAGAATGCTTTCAAAAATGGCCTCAAAAGTCAGTCTAATATTTTGAATCACGGGAGAGGGTATCTAATTAAGTTTGACACTACTGGAACGCTTTAGAGAGAAGCCATCCAAAACTACCGGAAAATTTTCGAATAGAGGCAATCGCAGCAAAGCAATTTGTAAGCAAGCATATCGCAACTCATCTTCTCCGTCCCACCTAACTGTAGAGAGTCGAAATGAGCCCACCCCCTTTTCATCCCGTTATCCCGATGTCTCCTCCCCCTAACCTTCTGATTCAACGTGCACCAAACACAGGTATTTATCCTTTCAAAACCCATCCGAACTTCCCCATCTCGCTCGACCCCTCCTCTGATCATGCTATCTTCTTCTATCAGCTATCAAATACTTACACACACATACATACATACACACACACACACATGCATACAGTCTGTTCGCAACATCACTGCTAATTGTTGTGGGAGGCTGATTTATGGACGCTAATAAAGGTATGTAAATTTTTTTTTGCGTATCATAGCAAACATGCAGTGGTATTTATTCCCTCCATTACCTCTTTAGCTAAATTGTTTAGACATGGATTGGGGATGCTTGGCGCCTGCCTTATTATTACCAATAACATTTATTAATTGTCCACTAATTTCCATAAATCACATTGATACTGGTTAAACACCGTACTACCATTTCATCAAATCATTCATAATTAAGCATTTACCATTCATTTACTAAATTTCATCTGACAGTATTACATTTCTCATACTTCCATGTTATGTAATGTGGAATACCGGACAGTATATTAGGAATTAGGTGTTATTGGTAAACTCTAAATTAAGTTCTTACAAAATTACGTTTGAATATATAAGTGATAATCGCAAATACTTTAATTCTTAGTTTTCAAAAACCAAATTTAAACACTGCTGAAAATGATTTTTCTTTGTTGAAATCTGAGACTACCAAGAAATTTGATTTATTTTAAAATCGATGCAAAAATATACAATGAAAACATCATGAAGCATAGATCTTAGTGCTTAGAGCTCTGTTTGTGAAGCATTTGATAGCTTTCTTGCAGCTCTAATTTTAACTCAATCTGGAAAGTAGAGTTACAAAATTTCCAGTGAATAATTAATGAAGTTTTTATCAATTAAGATTTATTTTAAAATCGATGCTAAATTAGACTAAACATCTATGAAATTGGATATATTTGTTATTCTGAACAGAACCTTTTCTCAAATTATCCGTTAACGACTATCATTTGGCGTTGTACCGTTTGTTCAGAATACATTTTCCTGAAATAAGTGAAAATCCCTGTTATATGTAGTATTTAGCTATAGCCCTATCCATACGTCCATTCGATTTGTGACATCTGCGCATCCGTGCAGATGACCGTTTCACTGCGCAGGTATGGTAAAATCAAAACAACTCAATTTATTTTGAAAGAAAAAATCCTTATTGCAGTGAAATAAAGTTGAAAATAATTGTTGCTTTAGTATATTTTACCATGATTTAATCAGTTTCCGAATTTCCTCGGGATTTCGCATGGCAGCGAAAAAATTTTGTTTAACGCAATATTTTCATACCGAAATTTTTTTGGTATTTCGTTCAGATTTTTTCGGGACTTTATGTGAGCATAACCTTTTTATTATTTTCTGACCACTATTCGATATTTCTGTTGCATACAAATTGAACAGTGCCTTCGAAATACTATCTACAAATTATTTATAAAATCGAAAAAAAAAACAGTTAGTTGATGAGGACCAGGCTAAACTGAAAATTTTTACAAATGTAATATATTAACCCAAAAACAAACATTAAAAAAGTAGTTTGAGCAGAAGCAATCAAAAAGCGATTTTCTAAAATGTTCGTACTAATTTCTTCTTCTTTTTTCCCCTTATATTTTAATCGGTTATTCAATTTGGCCTGTCCCTCATCAACTAGCTGCTTTTTTTTACATGAAAAATTAATTTTCAAATTCATCTTAATTCATACGTATATCTTACAAATCGAAGCTCGGTTTCAAAATGTTATGAAAAGAGGTTCTTAACGGCCTACGTAAATTAATTTGCAAAGAGCAAAGCATCAGTTTACCTTAGCCTTAAACATTAAATGTGTTCGAGCGATTCAAAGAGATTGCAAAAATTTTTTAACAATAAATGCAAGAATAATGTTGCTAAGAGCTTTCGCTATTTATGATTCATATAAGAAGTAAGCCGAAAAGGCGCAAATGGAATATTCGTTGCAAATTTGTTGCCATCCGAAAATAGTTCTCATAGCCAATCCTTGTGATTGTTCCAGAAAAATTCTGGATAAGTCCATTTAGTATTATTGACCACCATGTTTGACAATACTAAAAAGTTTAGGTGATAGTCGAATTTATTGTATCTGAAATAAAGAACAAAAATTGAATATAATAAGGTAAAATCAGAAAAAAAAGTAAGTTATATTGTAATTTTGACCACCTTCATATTTATAAAATCTGTTTTTTTTAGATAGTCAAACAATAGCCACAAACAGGCAAATTATTGTTGTGGTAGTGGTACGTAATGAGTGATGCCGATGCGTTATGTGAGACAAACCGAGTATTTCGACTATTTTTACAACATCTTTCTGAATTTTGTCAGGTAATCATAAGTAATTTCCTCTTCCGTTGTACTTTAATTTTTATTCATTGAAATTTAGTAAGCTATAGAAAAATAAAAATTGAAAGTATAAATTTGAAATTTAAAAAAATTGTAAATTGGAAAGGTACACGCAAGATCAAATGAAATTAATTGTTTCTGATCTAATTGAACTTTCGGTTTCAGTTTTGATGACTTAGTTATTTGCATCGATTATTTGATTATTTGTTTAAACAAAGAAATCCATCCTAAAAAAGGGAAAAAAATAATTTTAGTGATGAACTTCTCTTATATTCAAATAAATTTATTTTTTCCAATTTCCAATTCTCGATCTATTTTAGCTTTTATTTTTATTTTTTGTTGTGGCTTTTTAAACTAAGGATTGTATCTTTCTTCTCTCTTGTATATTAGTGTATTTGCATAGTGTGGAAAGTTCATTTTCAAAATTTTTGAGAGCAACTATAAATCACCTGACTCCAAGTTGGTATGAATCTCATTCTTATTGTAACAGTGTTAGATCGCATACCATCAACAAATTAAAATTTTTTAGATTAAAATTACTTCATTTGTGCTTTCATTCTTTCTAATTTACAAATTATCATACCATAGAATGAAAACAAAGTAGAATTACTGAAAATTATAGGGAAATCTTCGAGAAATTCTAGGAAATTGTAGAATCTTGAAACATATATGATAATTATTGATTAACATTAAATAAAAACAAAATTATTAAACAAATAACATGTATGCAACTTCCAACAGCTTCCTTTCATCCCAATAAAATCGACCTCTGAATTAACACTACCTAAAAAACTTTCTCATTGGTTACGGTGTATTGCTGTCGCCATTT